GAGATGGAGCTTTCATACTTTCTTCATACCTCAATACAGTAGGAAGCAGAATGGTCAGCTGTACATGAAAAACTTGGAATTGCATTTTGCTTGCAGAAACATCCTTTAATTTGTAGGTCAGTATTGTTTTGAAGTGCTCAAGTCAACCGAATGCTAATGCCAAATGGACAAGGCTCATTTTGTAGTGTCAAAATCCTTTTTATCAATATTCAGTATGCTGACCTTCACAGCTAATAGCTCTTTTAAGCCTATCTGGAAAAATCTGACTGTATTAGTGAAATTCTCAGCATCCTTTTTAATCTAAAATAGCATTAAATGGTTGCTGATGCTTCCACAATTCATTTCTATAAAAAGCACAGGTGAATGCATTTGTAGAAATTTTATAGTCATCTTTAATATTTTTTTCTAATGAAAAATTATGCTTTACACAGTGCTCAATATATTAAAGATATTAAAAATGCCATGTTTTACAGGTATAATCCTTTATGTAATTGATTTCCTGGGGAGAGGTATTCTTTTTTTCCTTCTCACTGACATAAAACGGCAGTTTTTTTATTTCCAGTGCACTTGTCACAATATCATTGAGATAACTGTTTTTGAAGAAAAGAAACTCCTGTTTGTTTCTCACTTTATGAAATGGAGAAATAGAGGGGTTTAGACCTTCTGACAGCTCTAATGAACATAGCATTATTAAAATCAACTTGTGGATGATCTCACTACCATCTTTAAATTCGCTCCTAGTGTACAGTGATTACAATTCAAATAAGTATCATAAGAATTTTACACTGTTTTGGAGACTCCTTTCTTAGTAGTAATTATTTTAATGACTATACTGTGATAGGAGGTTGGGCTGGAAAAGGAAGGATAACAAAGTGATCTACAAAAAAATCAATTATCCTTGATTATAACCTTTATTTGCAATTTGCATTCAACCTCACTGCTCACAGATTATTGTAGGAAAGTCTGAAAAACATTAATTCATTAAAGTAATGGCAATTTTGTAACCATACCACAACTCCTTCTGCTGCTCTTCGACTACCGTGCTTCACGTCTATGCCTGTGCCACTGAAATCTAGATGCCCATTTCATCATGCAGTGGTAGAGCAGAGCTCAAGCAGAGGCTCTGTGCTCCTTGTAAGGCCTGTCCAATCTTCCCTATGTTGGATGCATTCCAGCTCCCTAGGAAAGGCACTGAATTTCTCCAGACTGAAATTCTCAGCACAGAGAACTTCAGTTTGTAGAGTACAGACCTGTGTTTTTCCAAGGTGGGCAGAATTCAGGCCTTTCTCCTTCCTATGAACAGTAGGGCACAAATGTTGTGATGGAATTTGTCACCAAATGCAGAGTACCTTTATCTTTTATGTTTTATTTATTGGAGTACAAAGAGAGAGCAGTTCTGTCTTCACTTGAGGACCTTCCATATCCCATTGAAAATGTAAGTGTCAGGATCACATTTTTCTTCCTTAGGAGTGCATAAGAGAGGAAGAAAGTGAAGAAAGACATACAAGGTTTACAGTGATGGAATCAGAGGGCAGCAGGGCCAGAACAAACCTCATGTAGATATCCAGCCCTTTCTAGGACTCCCAGGACAAATCAGCTATATCTATTACAGATGGCTCTTTATTGACCTTCAGTTCTGAAGATTCTTGCTTCTGCAGACAGTCTATTCCAGAGTTCACTTGCCAGCTTTTCTACACTGAATTTGAGTACTTACTTTCTCCCTTTTGACATGAAGCATTTTGTATTTATCCCTTTGAGCTGTACCCTCTCTTTCTTCAGATCACTTTTTTGTGAAGACTTTGACTTAGATGATAGTCTCTCGAATGGTAAAGTCCCAGTCAATGCAGGATTGATTCAGAAAATCAAAAAGCTTCATTAAAGCAGGCTTCCTTGCCCCTTCAGTAGTCTGAACTTTCTGCATTTATTCTGGTAAAATTCCCTCTGCTTCGTCATTCTCTAGTAACAGTTTCTCTCTACTCAAATTGATAGATACTAGTGAAGAAAAGAGTAGACCTCTTTAACACCCTTCAGTCCTCTTTGCCCCATGATCTCAGATCTGTCTCAGCAGATCACTGTACCCAGTGACCTTGTTGCCAGGCAATAGTTAAGCAGTATTTCCAATGTGAGCCAATCGATTGCTTACAACCATTTTTCTTATTCTTTGTGACAAGTGTTTTTTCAGAACAATTAGGTTAAAAGTTCTTGATGTAACAGCCAAGACCAGTCCATTACAAAGATTAAAAGTAAACAAACGAGATATGCAAAAATCAGCATTGATATGGGATCTGCACTTTTATGTAGATATGCAGATTAAAATCCCCCAAATCAAATAGAATTTGTGAGATGCATTTAGGAATCGTCAAGTCATCACAAGTCCTAAATCACTTGGACATCTCTGGAAAACACATCCAGGATTTTAGCAGTGCTTTAGTAGGGGTGTTCTTTGGTGAAAGTCTTTAAAAACAAGTTAGAAAGGATTACTGCCCATGGGTAATGAGATTTCTCTTGAAGAAGATATGCTTGATTCCCTCAAATTTTCACTCATAACAGATTTTTGCAGAGGCAGATTTGTCCCACAAACCAAATTATGCCATAGGCTCACTGCATTAGCACAAAAGTACAGCTGTGTGGTGAAGCAGATGTAGGCGAATAAATTCTTGACCACCTAAGTTAAATTAGTTATTTTACCAGGTCAAGTGTAAATCCAAAACCCATTTAGAGCCAATCATATCAGTAACTAGTAACCAATTTTAAAAAGCCAGCTTTTGGATGACACTGGAGGTCCATCATGGATGGTGTCTTTCTTTAAAACTGCAGACCTGGAGGTATTTGCACAGCAGGGAGCGCTTGACACTTCCTCAGAAGTGCGTACGTAGTAAACAATACACATTATTTAAGAAATTTTATGAATTCTGAGTCCAGACAGGTGATAGGGTATGAGATTGCCATTTTTGCTTGCCATTTTTTTAGAACAGAAAAGGCCAGTTGGGGAAGTGATCTGAGTTAGGGAAACAGAATTAAGAATAATTTACAGCTGTTGGGACAAAGTGTTTATAGTGATTCACTGTTCCATCTCAGTTTCTGCCTAATGTTATGAAACAGTTTGTTACAGCTTTGTTGTGCCCCAAGTGAGCAGACACATTGTAATTGAGACGAACTGGGGAAAAAATTGTACAAGAATGTTGTTAGCTAAGCAGTGTTCAGCACAGGGTGTATCAATGTAATGCATACCCCCTCCCTCCCACACAAATAGTTGTACCAACAGAAAATTATTAGCAAGAGTCAGAACATTTCAAGAGTTTGTTTTTCTGTCTGTTGTTTGGTCTTGCTAGCAGCATATGTGCTCATTTGTACATGTAATATCAACTGATGCCTGGACCAACAGGTATGTGTATAAAATGGAGCAGCAGACATGCTATAAAAGTTTCACAGCAATCTCTGCTCCATCTGCTCTCACAGTTTCTCTGGCACAGCTGCTGGGCTTGCATATATTAATGCTGAATTGTTTTGAAACTAGCCAGTGTATTTTGAAGGCTGCAATATTGCACCTACCAACACAGCTGCTGGCAAAATTCACACAGCATTAAGTAGGAGAAAAAGTCAATCTTTTACTGATTTCCAGATTCAGTATGTGATCTCTGACTGATGATTATGTTAAGAAGATAATTTGAATGTAGCAGGCAATGCACATCACACAATATTTGTGCCAAGTCCATGACACTGGATGCTTTAATTACACAGAACAAATATTTACTGTCTTGAAATTCTTTCTGAAATGACTTCAGATTTTACAGGAACATTATAGCTTTGGGAAGTACCACAGGGAAAGCAAAGGGAAGTGCTCCATAAATGGTGTTGACTAACACTATCGAAATCTTCTGAACACTTCTTGTAGATATATTCTCTATTGCATGATAATCGAGATCTATTTTCCATGTCTTATACAGCAACAACTTCCATCTCAGATACAGACCAGTAGCAGAAATGCTGAAGGCTAACAAGCAATAAATAATTTTCTTTCTTCACATCTTAAAGCAAAAACAATTGCCCTAAATGGAAAGAAGGAAAGAAAAAAAGAGAAGGGAAGGGAAGGGAAGGGAAGGGAAGGGAAGGGAAGGGAAGGGAAGGGAAGGGAAGGGAAGGGAAGGGAAGGGAAGGGAAGGGAAGGGAAGGGAAGGGAAGGGAAGGGAAGGGAAGGGAAGGGAAGGGAAGGGAAGGGAAGGGAAGGGAAGGGAAGGGAAGGGAAGGGAAGGGAAGGGAAGGGAAGGGAAGGGAAGGGAAGGGAAATGGAGAAGGAAAGGGACTAGTTTTTCTTGCTGCTTACTAAAACTGAGATATATTTCTTTATGACAGCTCTGTAGGGATGCTTACAGTTTCCTGCAAAGCAGGGGGAAATGCAAAACACCGGCACTTCCACAAGGACAGAGGGAAAACCAGAGTTTTAGAAATCAGTGTATTTTTATTGTCAGTCAGTTTCCCCTTTGATTCCAGGGTAGATCAATGTGATCGATCAGTGAGCCATCTGAGAGCAGACGGAAAGCAGCGGGAAGCAGCAAACCTGTGGAGCTTTACAAATCTCTCTCCCTTTACTTCCCGCTGCTGTCTCCACCCTCAGCTCGTTGTGGCTCCTCCTGGAAAGCGGAGATGCTGAAGGCGGCCAGGGCTGAATTCGCTCAGTCCCGTGCAGGGCTGCAGCCAGCTGGCAGTGCAGCAGGACTGCCTGCTTTCCCTGCCTCCTCCCCCACTACCGAGTGGAAATCTCAACGTGCTGTGTCCTGACGAATACCTCACACCAGTTATGAGAAAAGTTTTTTAGCCTGCGTACATGGAGCCTTGGAAGGATTAGCCTGTCTGGTAATCGAATTTGCAAAGACTGAAAGTCCGAGTGCTTTCAGGTGAGTGGAGAACAGGACAGGAATGGGACTGTGACTATATGGAGAATGTGCTCTGGGGCTGTGGCTCATCCACTCTCTGCTCCACTCTTCCTTTTGCAGGGACCATGGAGAACATGTGCTGAGACCAAGCGCCAGGCAGGAGCAGCAGCAGGCTGGTGAAGATGGAGAATGGCACAGGCGACGAGCAGAACCACACTGGGCTGCTGCTGTCAAGCCAGGAGATCATTACAGCTGAATACCAAGTGGTTACCATCCTCTTGGTCCTCCTCATCTGTGGACTGGGCATCGTGGGCAACATCATGGTGGTCTTGGTAGTCCTCAGAACCAAACACATGAGAACTCCCACTAACTGCTATCTGGTGAGTCTGGCTGTGGCAGATCTCATGGTGCTTGTGGCTGCAGGACTACCCAATATCACTGAAAGTCTGTACAAATCCTGGGTGTATGGCTACGTGGGGTGCCTCTGCATCACTTATCTCCAATACTTAGGGATCAATGCTTCTTCTTTTTCCATCACTGCTTTCACCATCGAGAGATATATAGCTATCTGCCACCCAATCAAAGCTCAATTCCTATGCACATTTTCAAGAGCTAAAAAGATCATTATTTTTGTCTGGTCTTTCACCTCCATATACTGTATGCTCTGGTTTTTCCTACTAGATCTCAATACAGCAGTCTACAAAGACACTACTGTTGTGTCTTGTGGCTACAAGGTGTCCAGGAGCTATTACTCTCCTATCTACATGATGGACTTTGGAATATTTTATGTTTTACCAATGGTATTGGCAACTGTCCTCTATGGACTGATTGCTAGAATACTGTTCCTGAATCCCATCCCTTCGGACCCTAAGGAAAACTCTAAGACATGGAAGAATGATGTGGCTCACCAAAACAAGACTGTGAATTCCAAGATGACTAACAAGAGTTTCAATAGCACTATTGCTTCTAGAAGACAGGTAGGAACAGCAGTTTGCAGTGGCTTTTTGAAATCTAAATGCTTGTTTGAGAGATCACTGGTCTAAATACATGGAAGGGGGTAGAATATATTATCTCTTTTGATATGTTTTCAAGCAGAAATTCATAGATACATGTATACATATATATAAATATGTATTCTTTCTTGCCTATTTCTTATCACCTACTTCTAGGACTAGAAAATAAATGGTAATCTTTCTACTGTAACAAAAAGCAGTTAGGAAGTGTCAGTAAAGAATGAAATGCTTTAAATGACAGTTTCTTTATATTACAGCCTATTAGTAATCCAATCAAATGCACAAAGCTATTTTTGAGCTCTAAGGAAAATAAACTAGCCTGGGAGTTTAGGAGACTTGTTGTTTAGTCCCCGCTAAGGCACTGTGTCACTCTGCAAATATAGTCAAGTTCTCATTTTTCCTTATTTTCTTTGATGTCCCCATGAACAGTCTACATAAGCACATCTGTATATAAAAATGCCTGGTAAATGATATTCTGTCTCTCAGAAAATATTTTCTTTCATACTGGTGGCTCAGAAGTGAGGCATAGGTCTAACCAGCTTCTTTATATATTATTATGCATGCATGTATGAATTTAGTTAGTCGAATGATTTATGGCTATTTGCAATGAATTTCACTACCTCCCACTCACAGCTGTCAGCACAGTTAGTCCAGTCCTGACAAATTCTGGTGTACCACTTGATGGATTGGCTTTCAGGATCAGGCTTCAGCTGCATCCAGCAGTGTGGATGAGCATGGAGGTGCGTGGCTCCACACTGAATGCCTGGTTCATGCCTGTCAGCACCCGCTGCTGGGATCTGGAGCAGAGAGCTGCTCTGCCAGGTGGGATGATTCTGCCCCTCTACTCTGTGCAGTCCTGCTGGAAGCAAGGCTGAGCTGCACACCCTTTCAAACAAGCTGAATGCACCCTCAGGTTATAAGCTGAACTTTTTGTTGTTTTTATGCTATGAAGATTGCTATTGTTCAATGAGAGGAGTGGTACTCTTTAGTACGGACATAGATCTGAAAAGTTAACTGAGCTGCCTCCTAGAGCACCAAGAGCTTACAAAGCACGAGAGCTGTGCCTTGGAATGCACACTGTAACATGTAGGCTAGGTTATATTTAATTATATCTCCAGTTATAGTTAATATTCAGCCCAGAAGTCTTTAAGTTTACTATACTTTGTCCATGAATTAGTAGAAGATAATTTACTTTCAAGTTCTCAATGTCACCTCAGCACGCACGCTTGGTAACTTGTGCTAAGCATCACTTGAAAAACAGACAGGTCTTTTGAACTGAGTATTGCAGAGAATTGATGCTAAATTATAACGAAAACAGAAATTTGGGATTACAGCATGATGTTCTTTTGGTTTTATAAAGGCAGCAGAGATTTTCTAAAATCCCAAGCAACCTGTTGGATGAGACTGTTTTATGAGTAAAGTTAGCATTTTCTCTGTAGTGCAACGCAGGAAGCAAAGCAAGGGCAGTGTGTTTGTTTTTTTTTAGTTAACATTTGCACAAATGCATTTAGTGCTTTAAAATGGAAAAAGGAATTTCAAATTCAGATAATCTAAAATCTCAAAATCTGAAATCTTCATGTGATGTCCAGGATATGATCTTCAGAGAAAATGACTGACAGTGAGGTGCACAGTTCTATCCCTGCTGTAGCTCTTATATTTATCCAGGTACGTTCTGACAAATGAAATCAGCTGTTGTTCCTGTGACAGGTTGGCTCCGGACTGAAGCAAACTTCCACTCAGCTGCACCCTCACTTCCTCTGCAAGGATCAGGGGACAAAATGGAAAGAACAGGAGCAAGAAGCCGCATGGGTTGAGATACACAGACACCTAGGGCACTTCCATTCCATTCTTACAATTGATTATCTTAATTAACCAATTATGAGCTCATATTTATATGACAGTGAGACTGCAGGTTACTTTGGTTTACTCAGCCTTCATGCAGGCTTAAGCCAAGGCTTTTCAGAGCCTTTTTTGATGATTAATCCAACATGTCAGTATGTGAATCAACGCACCCATTTAGTATGACTTGGATTGCCTGACTGATATGGATTTAGCTTGACCCAGACTATTAAGTCATACTATTTAATTTTTTCTACCCACTATGTCATCTATGTTTTGAAAGTGTTCCTTTGTTGAAGTGTCCAAAACTTGCTAATTATCTGCATAAATGCAAGCTCTATCCTCTACTTCATCACACAGCAGCTACATTTCACCTGAAGAGAAGCAGCTGAAGCTGTTTCTGACTCACAACAGAAATAGATTCCATCATCGTGTTGTTTTTAGGCATTTTTTACCTATATTAGTGTGTTACTGTAAAGCATATGCTGTCAACTTTGTATTTCTATGTCAGCTTCCAAGAATTAATGTTAAGTTTCAATATATCCACAATACTTTTTTTTTTTTTTACTGTGAGTCATATGGCTGTGTAATTTCAATTGTATTCCTCAACAATAATAATATACCAGTTAGGTTACTGGTAAGAAATGTAACCCAGAGTTAGAAGCTGACTTTTTAAAATGTGAAGAGTAACTTAGGCACTGCTTTTTATGTTGGAGTCCATTTCTAATTTGTGTTTTCCATCGGGCTTTCTGTTTCCCAGAAGAAATAGAAGCCAGTTCATTCTACCTCTTCTTTGTCAGAAGCTAAATACTTCTTCTAGAAAGCAATGAATCCTTTATTGCGACTGCAGAGCCTTTGATCAGATAGTATAAGTCAGTAGGTAACTCCAGACTGTCTCTTGAGGGAAGATCTCTTCCAGAAGAAGGCCAACATTGGTAAGTTCAGTTTTCAGAGAGGAAAGGCTCATGGCTACATAGCATTAACCAGTATTAAGCTTGTTTCAATACAGAGTTTACTGCAGGTAAACTCTCAAGCATGTGCTTAGTTTGCTAGTTAAAGAAGCGTCCTGAACTCCTATTAGATCTGACAGAGCTTTTGATGATTGTGCTGAGTGGAGTTTCACCTGTTCACTGCAAAGGAAATAACCTTCCTAGGCTGAAGATCATAGAGAGTTGAAAATATGACTTCTATGTGAAATTTTTTGAAGGCCTACAGAGGGTTTCGATCATAAACAGTGACAAATTGTTCTCTGCAACAGAAGATTAAGAGAAAATGAAAAGGCAACTAACAGTAAAGTGAGACCTCTTTGGCCACCTCTTTGATAAACTTAATAGGATATAGTTTTTGCTGAGAAATTTGCAAAATCTGAACCAGAGAAAACAGAATGAAATAGTTTTTCTGTACATATTTTCCCAAGTTAAACAAGAGGGACAATGACGAAGCACATTTTGCAGCACTCTTCAGTTAAACTGAGTTCAAAGTAGCTGAAACTTTGAAGCTTAATAGAGGAATGATCAATATGATTAGAATATGATTTCTTGACAAAGGGTATCTCTTAAGGCAAGGCCGTTCGAAGTCCCATTTACTTCACCGAGAGCTGAAGAAAGAACTTCAATGCAAATTCAATGCTAAGATATATTTAAGAACTTTATGGTCATTTGGATAGATGATCACAAGTCCTAAGAAGTGAATTAATTTCTACTCACTCACCAGAAAATACAGACTGTGAATTTGGGTTTTCCAATTAAACACTTAATTTGAACATTTGAGAAAGCCTCGTCCTCCTGAAGAACTTGTAAACTGTATTTATTGCTGTAGGACTAAGGTAAAAACTGCATTTATGCACACAAAGAGATTGAAGATGTATATTTCAAGTCATTTTATAAGCGAGTGGCAGTATGACATCCCAGTTCTTTTCATCAGTGATTTGTCACTGATTTCAACACAGCCAATATTTTAGTGGCATTATTCTTTAAGATGTTTCACGGTCTCTAACAGCATGCCACAGCTGATAGAGAGAGGCATTTCTCAAGAGCCCAGAGAAAAAAATGTGTTTGAGATTTCATAGAATCATAGAATCATATGATAATTTTTTTCACTACAACAGACAACAAATCTGTCTAAGAAGCATTCCTACTTTTGCTTTCTGCTAGGCATGTATTTCGTAAGAGATTTCTACAGGATTCTCTTGGCCTTTGATAAATCCATTATATGTGTGATTTTACTCAATCTTTTTCACTTACTGCAGTTTTAGGTATTTTTAATTAGTTAGTTAATTCTTACAATAAGCAACCAATCAAGATGTAGGTCAAAACACCCTTCTTTTAGTCACAGGATACATTTAATATCATGTTCAACATTTCCTAGTCTGTGTGTTTTGCTCCATAGATGTATTTAGAGTAGTACCATTATCGATACTGTGAGAGGCTAAAGATCTTTGGCTTGTTACCCCATTATACAGCCAGTGGATTTTAGTTTCTTAATTGAAATTACAGAGGCAACTGCAATAATTAAATCTTTGATTTTTCAGGCTTTAGTCTATGAATCTATATCTTTGTTAGTCCAAAACAGCCTGCTATTGGTACTTACAAACCATCCATACTGTTAAATCTTCCAGAAAACTCATTCCCAGACTGTATCCTAGTCAAGATGAACAGCAATTGAGGAACTTTATTAACTGCAGTTACTGGCACTTATAGCACATAAATAGCAATGTATATGTGCCTAAACTCAGCTTAGGGAAAAAAACACCTGCCTGTACCATTGGTCTTTACTGAAAATTCTAGGCAAGAAAGATTCAGTAAAGTCAGTTCATCGCCCCATCATGAAGTTCATTTTCAACTTATATTTATATTCATACGCATATTACAACTTAGATTTACACATCTGAAATTTAAGGTAATAATTCTTCAGTTTTTAAATACAGCCTTCTTTTTCCTTTGCACCAACATGTAAAGAAGCCCTACTTACTTAATTTTCTCCAAAGAGCACGTAAAAAAACAAATATATTTGCATTATAACGTGCACACACAACATGAAATCCAGGTGATGTAGGAACTGAATGCTTACAGCAAACTTAACAACTGAAAGCAGCTTTCCCAAGGTGAATATCTGAGGGTATTCTT